AAATACATCTTTCATATCATTTGATTTCTAAATGGTCTTGAGCTAGAAAAAATATATCAACAATAGCAAGAACATGTGAAAAAAAATATTACTGAGTCTTGAATGAAGAAGAATTAGAAAAGTTGGAAATTCAAATGATAACTTGAACAATTGCATATGGGAGGTGAGAGAAAATGAACATTGTACCAAGGTGTCTCTCTCGGAGTTTATTTCAAATGGAATATGATAGAAGAGTTGAGTTGATTAGTTGATAGATTTGAGTGAAGTACTAGGATGATAGAATAAATTGTGATCGACATGAAAAGTACTATTGTTAATATAGTAATAGTATTGGGCCATTATTTCTCGGCATTTGTACAGTTAGTTACAGTTTACTATTTTTAGTTATTGACCAATGTATATATTAGTAATTGTAACTCTTTTTTGCCTTAATCAATCAATAATAAACTTTATCTTTATATTTTGTCTCTCTCTTCTTTTAAACTCTCTATTATTTTTACACCTTTTTTTATGGAGTTTGTGTACTAGAACTGCATCATCAACATGGTATCAGAGCTTCCAAAGTTTTGCTAGTCATTATTTTTGTGAGATATTGAATCGAACTCTAATAAGGTCGAAGTCTGTCCGCGAGTAATGCGTGTTGTAGTCGAAATTTGTTCTAACATGAATTAGTCAATATTGCTAGGCTTGTTAGCATGTTGAATTGAGTCTTGCTTGTAAGCTCAATTGTTTAAGTTATCTTGTACCCTAAGTTAGCTTGTAATGGATAATTGTTAAAAAGCCCATTAGGTTAGTGTGCTAATTTTCTTATAAATAGCATGCTAGCCTCTCATCTTGTATAAGGAAAAATAGGAAGGTAAAATCCTAATTAAAGAGAGATAGGTTATTTTGTTATTCTTGTATACTTGTAATCTTGTTTTGTAGAGAAAGGAAAGAATATCAGTTTATAACCAATCATTGTTGTTTCTTCTTGTTCTTCTTGCGTGTTTTCTTTGTTAATCCTAACCCTTGTGTGTTTCTTGAATATAAAGAAATCGTTTATATTTTTTTTAAGGCATTCTATTCACAACAAATTTGTGCGGTGAGCGTGGAGAAGATGTCTTCAACAAAGTATGAGATTGAAAAGTTCACCGGAGTGAACGACTTCGGTCTGTGGCGCTTAAAGATGAAAGCCATATTGGTCCAGCAGGATTATTTGGAAGCATTGAAGGGAGAGGCAGCCATGGATGTTGCGTTAACGACAAAATAAAATACGACCATGATTGAGAAAGCCCACAACGCAATATTGTTGAGCCTTAGTGATAAGGTTCTTCGACAGGTATCAAAGGAGACTACAACATCGGGGTTATGGGTAAAACTTGAAAGTTTATACATGACCAGATCTCTGGTGAATCGACTCTACCTGAAGTAAGTTTTGTATTCATTCAAGATGAGTGAAGACAAAGTGTTGGCTGAACAGTTGGATATGTTCAACAAGCTGATTCTTGATCTTGAAAATATTGATGTGAAGATCGATGATGAAGATCAAACATTGTTGTTGTTGTTGTGTGCTTTGCCCAGAACACATGCTCACTTCAAAGAAACTCTTATGTACAGAAGGGAGTCCCTGAGCTTTGAAGAAGTTCAATCAGCCTTGTATTCTAAAGACTTAAACGAACGAAAGGAGCATAAACCTTTGACATGGGCGAAAGTTTGGTCGTTAAGGGAAAATTCTTGCGGAAGGATGGTAAGTTCGACAAGAAGAAAGGGAAAAGTCAGCATAAGTCTTATAATGGCGAAACATCTGGTATTCGATGTTATCACCGTAAGAAGCAGGGTCACACAAGAAAGGTGTGCCTTGAACGCCTAAAAGATGGTGGAGGTAAGGATAATGGCAACACAGCCATTGCTGAAGATGATTTCGACTCATCGGATGTTCTTGTGGTTTCAAATGGTGACTCAAGAAAAGAGTGGATTATGGATTCAGATCGCACTTGGAACACGACTCCAAACAGAGAATTGTTCGAGGAGCTCTGTGATCAAGATGGTGGATCGGTGCTACTGGGAAACAATAAATCTTGCAAAATTGTAAGTATTGGATCTGTGAGATTCAAGTTCCATGATGAGTCAATAAGGTTCTAAACGAAGAAACTAGAGACTATAAAGAAGTCATGAGGAGTCGAAAGAAGATTGAATGGATGAAGTCCATGGATGATGAGATAAAACCTCTTCATGATAACAACACCTAGAATTGATCAAGAAACCTGTTGGAGCCAGGTTAGTCAGCTGTAAATGCATTTTCAAAGTTAAGGAAGGAATCGAAGGAGTGGCGTCGAAGAGATACAAGGCAAGATTGGTCGCTAGGGGGTTCACTCAGAAAGAAGGTTTCAACTTCAATGATGCATTCTCTCCTATTGTGAAACATAGATCCATTCGAATGTTGCTTGCAACAGTGGCACAGTTCAACCTTGAACTGGAACAAATGGATGTGAAGACTGTGTTGTTGTATGGTGATCTAGATGAAACAATCAATATGAGGCAAACTTGAAGGGTATGTCAAAAAAGGGAAGGAAGATTATGTGTGCAAACTGAATAGATCTTTATATGGACTGAATTAATCTTCTCAACAGTGGAATATGAGATTCGATAAGCTCATGGCACACATAAGTTTCATTAGAAGTCAGTCCAACCACTGTGTTTACTTCATATTTTGACCTGGTGGTTCATTTGTTATTATGTTGCTTTATGTGGATGATATTCTATTAGCAAGCAACAATGTCGAAGATGTAATAAGGGTGAAGGTTGAACTCAATAAGGAGTTTGACATGAAGGATCTGGGAGCTCATCTAGGATTCTTGGGATTGACATCCGAAGAGATAAAAAGCAGTCGAAATTATGCTTATCTCAAGAGGCATGCCTACAGAAGATTCTCGAAAAGTTTGGTATGTCAAATTCAAAGCCTATTATGACTCTGACAAACCCTCAATTCAAGCTGAGTATAGATCAATATCCTAGTACTGATTTCGAAAAAGCTTATATGAATAGCATTCCATATGCTAATATAGTGAGTTCTTTGATGTACGGTATGGTTTGTACTAGACCCGACATAGCATATGCAGTAAATCTTGTAAGCAGGTATATGGCGAATCTTGGAAAGGCTCACTGAAAAGCATTGAAGTGGATTCTAAGGTACATAAATGGATCTCTGAATAGAGTCCTAATTTATGGTGGAGCCTTGGGTGAAGATAGTAAAACAGAAATTGAAGGATATGTCGACTCTGGTTATGCAGGTTGTATGGCTTTTAGAAAATCTATTTTTGGATATGTGTTCACTATGTTTGGGACAACAATCAGTTGAAAGCTACACTTCAGAAGGTCGTTTCCTTATCAACCACTGAAGTAGAATATATCGCCCTAACTGAAGCTGTGAAGGAAGCATTGTGGCTTGAATGTTTTGCAAAGGAGCTGAAACTTCAAGGTCGAGTTATCACTGTTAAATGTGATAGCCAAAGTGCAATACATTTGTCGAAGAATTCAGCTTATCATGAGCAAACCAAGCACATTGATGTGAGGCTGAATTTCGTCAAAGGGGTAATCGAGCGTGGAGAAGTCCAAGTACTGAAGGTTTCGACAGATCATAATGATGCTGATATGATCACCAAGACATTGCCCAGTTGCAAGTTTTTCCATTGTATGCAGTTGATAAAGCTGCATGAAGAAAGTTAGTTTCTTAATGTTATATAGTTAGATCTAAGGTAGAGATTTGTGAGATATTGGATCAAACTCTAGTATATCCGAAGTCTGTTCGCGAGTAATGTGTGTTGTAGTCGAAGTTTATTCTAACATACATTAGTCAATATTGCTAGGTTTGTTAGAATGTTGAATTGGATTTTTCTTGTAAACCCAATTATTTAAGTTAGCTTGTACCCTAAGTTATCTTGTAATGGACAATTGTTAAAAATTCCATTAGCTTAGTGTGTTAGTTTTCTTATAAATAGCATGCTAGTCTCTCAACTTGTATTAGGAAAAATAGGAAGATAAAATCTTAATCCAAGTGAGATAGTAGTATAGATAGTTGTAACCACCTCATTAGAAGGGTACTCTTCACTCATTTGTAATATTCTGTTTTCATCAATACAAAGCGTTTGAAGTTTTTCTCTCTCTCTTTTCATGAATGCGATACAAAGAGTTCGAAGCTTTTCTCTCCCTCTTTTCATGAATGCCATATTTCATTAAAGGAATAAACTTAAAGACTTTTAATTTATTTTAATAATTTATAAAGTAAATTGATAAGAGAATGATAGTTTAAAAACTAAAGTGAAGGTTTATTTCATGAAAAATACACTATGTACGATAATGTTTTAATGCTCTAGTCTTCTTATATAGTACATAAATTCATAGTCACATGTGCATCTTAGTTGATGCAATAGTTTACATAGATTCATAGTCACATGTGTATCTTCCACCATATGGTCCACATCTCTGCATTTTTGTCACTTTAATGTCCTTATGCACCCTCACCTTTTTAAACTTGGAAGGATCTTTACCAATTTTTCTTGCAGTCCACTGGAACATGGATAAGAATCCAGAACCATAAATAAGGTGAAATACATTAAGCCTAAAATATCCAATTGAAAAACACATATCTCTGTCTCACTACATAAAATGCAAGCTCTATTACTTAATAATTTCATGTCTGAATAGAATGAGATCAAACACAAAACAATCTTAAATAAAAATGTTACATGCATAGGACAAAACCTGCATAAAGTCATAATAAACCCCTCACCAAAAATAACAATAATAATGAATTGGTGGTTGAGAATTTTTGGCCTAGTGTTAAACAATGAATCCACAGGTTCTTACAATCACTAACTCATTATTTTGTGAAGGGTTTATCTAATGACTATTTTACAATTGTTTCCGAGAATAGTCGTATTCGCTCCTTGAGATTATACGGTCGAACTCTTAACACCTTATGAAAAGGTTTACCTGAATTTGTTTGTATCATCTCTTGAATCTTATAGCTTCAAAGTGAGATCAGGAGATGTAGATGTTGATGCTTGCGGTGGAGGAGGTGCCATTGGAGCAAAACTAGAATTTCCGACATTAACACCGCCTGCCTGATCCACCTGTCTGAAACTTCCCGGCCAAAAGAAACCTACATCCTCATCTTCCGCGAAAACAACCGATCCGAAATGGTTTCTGTTGAATTTTGCAGCAGCTCTCATATCAGGAGCCCTCACTGACGAAATCGGTTGCATATGTGTTCTTTGATGCATTGCACCATGAGCTTCAACGCCAAGGGACCGAAAAGGCGAACCATGAAGAGGTAGAGATGCTAGGCTTGTATACCTGTCGGTGAACATTCCCATTCTCATCGCGCGTTTAGCCATCGTCCTCTCTCTTTTGTGAGCATTCTGATGACCTCCTAACGCCTGCGAGCTAAAGAACTTCCTCCTGCAGTAATTACAAGAGAAAACCCTTGGAGTTACCGATGGCGAAGCAAGAGCTTCAGCTTCAGCAGCAGCTCCCACTTCACTACTAGCATCACTTGAAGCCTTAAACTCGCCATCACTCGAACTGATATTGAGTGTCAAGTCAAGCGTCATGGAGTCAAGACCACGAAGCGCTTCGGAAGGATTTTCAGGTTCCAAGTTCATGTTTGGAGTCATCATTTATATGAATCTTCTAAGAGCTATAACTTCTTCTACATAAGCCAATTGAATAGATCAAATGTCACACTTGGACTAGCTTTTCATATGATACTGTCACCTGCATTATAATGAAATAATACATTATATCCTATCTTATGTAAAAAAGAACAAAGATATAGTGCACACACAACAAAATTCAACTAAACCGAGTTTCCCTGCAACCACTGATTCATGAATTCGGAGTACTAGTGACCGTTCGATCAAAATCACATATATTTAAAATTTAAAAACAAAAAATTAAAAGATGTATTTTACTAAACCATCGGAATCGTTAATGACCCAAATGCGTGAATTTGGAGACTGAATTCAGCTTCATAAGAAAGACCTAAAACTACATTTTGTTTGTCCAAAAGAGGACACAGATATCAAACTATCACATCAAAGTAAACTATCTTCCCAAGGAAGGAATAATAAACTTTAATTTGTAACAATTTAGATTTAGTCCTTAAATAGACGCAAATAGTAACATATTTAAGAAAATTAACACTTCCATGGTAGCATAATAGAGATTACCATAAACCAATGATTCCAACATCATTCATGAATTGATATGCCAAGTGATTTCTTGCACTTGATTAACTAAGTAATCACTCAAAGACTAGTCTTAAACAAAGAAATCAAACAGAAAATTGGTAATTAATATTTACTTGAATTGGTTATTGGACAAAGAAATCATTCAACTATTTAAAAAAAAATGGTACTAACATCAAATTAGGCTCGCAACAAGTTAGATCTAAATTTGAATACTGGAAACTAAGATGCAGTTACTTACATAAGCAATTAGCATAGTAGGAAAGAAAGTGAAGGCATGGTTATTGTAGTGTGATTGGGAAGAAGCAAAGACAGAAGGTGGAAAGGTTTTTGTATGAAAAAGAGGAGAATGAATGAATGAGTGAGGTGATACTTAAAAAGGAGATGATAAGATTAGAGAAGAAAAAAGAGAGTTATGGGAAAGCAGAGAAGAGAGATGGTATTGGTAGGGTTGTCAGATAACATAATTACATAACACAAGACAACAAAACATATTGAGGTGAATCAAACAACAACAATAGAGTTAATAGTACAGTTCATATTTTCTATAAAACCTTAAAAAAACTACTTTCATCAATATTTTTTTAATTAAATATAAAATATCGAGTCTCAGTTATGATATCAAGTGATTTCAGTCCCTTTTATATACTAGACCGATTAATCTAATTCGAGATCAGTTATGACATCAAATGATTATAACTTTCTTCCGATCGCAATTGCAGGAGATCGAATCGTGATTCTCTTAATCTTAATTATAAAAAAATCGAACTGTAATTCTCTTTATTAAAGGAGATCGAATCCTGATTCTTCTCGTCTAAAAATATTAATATATATTTTTGTGTTTGTGTGTAGAAGATATTGGAATTCTAATAGAAAAATTTAAGAAGAAAAAAAAGGACGAAGGAAAGAGAGACAGCGAGACAAAGCAGTCCCCACTTCATTTCTGCCAACACCCACAATAAAGACGCAACATGCTCATACTAAATTAGAAACAACTTCACAAAAATTTATAAATATATGCTATATAAGTTATAATATAATTATTCCTTTCACAAAAAAAATCACTATATGGTTAATAAAATTTGCAAATACACAATCATATTTTAGTGTATAAATAATTTAGACCGAAAAGACTAATGTAACAAGATAGTATGGTGGTATCCCACAACTTTAATACTTTAAATCTCATGAGAGATAATTTGTTAATTCGGTAGTTTAGACACAACTTTAACCCGTTGAATTTTGCAATTTTTTAATATCAACTACTAATAATGTGCATACAAGAGAGATACGCTTTTCGGTAAATTTTGGAAACGTAATTATTTATATATTTTCGTAAATATAAGAATTGTTTGTAGATTGTTATAAAAATAAATTTAAAAAAATTAAATTTAAGAATAATAGTAAAACTAAATTAAAATAGTAATATGTAGAAATAAAATGTAAATAACAATATTATTAATAATGATTAAAAGTAAAAATTATTAAAGTTTGTATTAGATAATTTTAGTTTTTTTTATAAATAAGATAATTATTTTATAAGAGAGATTATAATTTTCAAATATATACTCAATCTTTTTAAAGTTTTTTTTTTAATTTTTCATCTATTTAAAAAAAATGATTGATAAATTTCTATTATTTAATATTTGAATCAGTAGTAAAGTTGTCTCTGTTTATAACAATAGTATTTTTTTCAAATATAAAAATATTTGAATCAACAATGTATTATTTTAAAAAATATTTGAATCAACAGTAAAGTTGTTTTCGTAGATAAAAATATTTCAATCAACAATGTATTTTTTTTAATATATAAATATTATTTTATTTTAACAATATTTATAAAAATATTTAAATCACCTAGTCCCCACAAGGTTACAATGAATTACCTGTCAATAGGGCTGAAAATACTATGTTAAATAAGACCTTTAGCAGCACTTTTTTTAGCTTTTAGCAGCGCTTAAAAGGATTGCCTAAAGTGGTGCTGCTAAAGGTAAAGACAACGTTTTTTTTATGAAAAAAAACGCTGCTATAGGCCCCATTTAGCAGCGCTTTTGAAAAGCGCTACATATTTTCCCCCATATAACAGCGCTGCTTATCCCCCCTACCCCCCCCCCCCCCTTTAGCAGCACTTTTTTGAGCGCTCTCTATGCCCCCCCCCCTTTAGCAGCACTTTTTTGAGCGCTCTCTATGCCCCCCCCCCCCCCCCCCCCCCCTTAAGCAGCGCTTTTACTTAAAAGCGCGGTCTATTCTTCACGTTTTTAAAATTTTTTTTAAATAATCACTTTTTTTACTTTTTTTCCGATAAACCTGCTTATAACAATTACATTCACCTGCTTATAATTCAGACCTTTAATTCAACACTTTGGCCTTATATATACATTGTAATTCAACACTTTGGCCATAATCATTGTAATTCACATAAACTTGCTTATATATAATTCAACACAAGCCGATACTCATAACAACTTCACAAATACAGTCAATTTACATATAATTACAAAACCGATAACTTTACAAATACATACGACTTTCAGAAATATTATTATCCTGCATCAATATTTGACGATACATATACCTTATACAATTCTCAACTCAAGAATGTATTGACACCATTCCTCCTTAATTTCTTCCAATCCTGCTTTCGAGTAAGTACCACACTTGAATTCATCAAAGTACTACATAATATAACAGAACATGCACGATTTAGTTTAAAAATTAATTACTCAGATGAAATATCGGTTAATTATTAAAATAAATCATATAACTTATGAATTGATCCATACCATGATTGGAATATCTATTTGACCCGAGTGAATAATTTCCTTCATAAAGCGCAATACAAAATATCTGCAATCAATCCCATTGCGCTGACGAGGACACTGTAAATGGAAAAAACAAACGATCATTTATCAGGATATATAGTTTAAATAGTTTTATCAAGTAGAATCACTATAACAGTAAAAAATGTGAAAATATACCTGCACTCTGATCCAGCTAATGTTGTCAGCCTTCCTTTTTGGCATTGTTGCTTCTCTTTGCGATCGAAATATTTGTATAGCTCTAACATAATATAAACGAATATTTAGAACAATCTCACATAATAAATAAAGATTCAGAACAGTATATCTCATCACTTACGTATCAACCATATTCTTCATATCAGGATATTTTGTTTGATCACCATCCAATGAATCCAGATAATACACTATTTCTTTCATCGGATTAATCGCGACCAACAACTAGTGTCCACTGTAAAATAAGACAAAAGTTTAGACGGAAATGTTATATAGAATGGCAAAAAACGAATAATTATAATAAATGAATTTAGAATGAAATCTAACCCATGGCCAGTATTATATGGCAAAAAGTACAACTTCTCTGTATCTGCGGCCATAAATGATTTGACTATGTAATCTCTGACTACGTCTGGAGTGTGATTGATTGACCGTACGTTTATACAGCTAGCAGATAAGAATGTGAATCTTGAAGTCAAATCGTGCGGGACCAACATCTTGTCATACAATAACCTTAAATAAAAACATAATCAACATTAGAATATTCATTTAAATGAGCAAATAAATTGTTCAATTATTTAATTAAAATTGATCGGAGTACTACCTGATGTAAGAATGCATAACACCCATGCCCAATTCAGAATGTTGGAAAATCTGGTCCAAATCCTCCTTGGCAATTGTTTCGGCATATTCAAAATCGAAAATACCTTCATGCATAGGTATTTGACGGATGCCATCCTCAGTCACATCTTTTGTTCCTACATATGTTTCAAGGCACAACCTAAATCGAGGAACATATGCTTTTTTTGGCCCGGCCTTTTTTTTGTTGGGTACCTTGCTAGATTCAAGCATCTTACCCTTGCTGACTTGTTGCAACTGTTGATCATGAACCTAAAAGTCATATAAATTCAGAAATTAATGTATAATAAGATCATCATGTAACTATAATAGTACCTATTTTTTTGATGCAACTGAATCGGTTTCCCGCACAATAATTCCTTTATCTTTTGATTTGGATTTTGTAGGAGTCTAAGATCATCATGTAAATAAGTAAGTGTAAATGTAAGAATAACTTTCATGTATGGGTCGTAAAATATTTGAATACTTCATAATGGTGTTCAACCTACCTCATCATCTATGAAAATGAGACTTGACGGCCATGCAACATACGATCCTATTGCATCTCCCACCACTGTTGCGTCTGAAACATCATCTGGTATAGGCAATAACGCACCCCCTCTAACGCAATATGAACTGATACTTTCAAAAATCCAGCAGGGAGTGGTTTATGGTGAAGTAAGTCTCCCAAAGTGTTATGCACTTTTCCCTTGCCAACCATGCGATAAGTCGGGGACGATAAATATAGCCGACAAGGTGAAATGCCCTAAACAAATAATGAATATGATTAATGTGTCA